CAGAACAACTTCGAATACGATATTAAAATACAATAAAAATCTGGAAGAAAACATCATTTGAAATCTGATAAACATCTGACTAAAAGTTGCATTTAAGAAATTATATTTAAGTTTATATAATTTTATACACCTGAAGATGGTTCTTTTAGAATTGAAACATGTCGTGTAAAAAGTGATGATCTAATGTAAATCGAACATTTCGATAGAGAATATCATTTAATATATTTTAAATATTTAAATGTTAATTATAGTGATATTTTAATATTTAATAGGAATTTTATTGTGATTAGACTGACAAGATTTAAACAAATAAGTAATGTGTACAAAAACTTTAATCAGAAAAATTTAATGGATGAAATTAAATCGGAGACAGATGACCGGATGGTGAGATCAAAACCACTCTTAAAAAAGCTGGTATATAGGCGAGTAAAGACAACTCTCGATATCGCGCGTGGCTACCCGCAGTTTTATTTCAGTGTTATAAGCAGCATCAGTACCCTATCCGCGGCCACCGTAGAAGCCTCCGCGCAGGTCCACTGAGTTACGAGTTCAATTTCACTGATTCACTCCACCATTTTGACTCCGGGGATTATAAATTAATGCTTCTCATAGTAAAAAGTAAAGTTTGTCCCACTATACGCCATGTAGGCGTTTGGGGTGAGTGGAGGTATAGCTCCTCTCTTCCTTGACCTCGGCACTAGATGGGGGTGAGTGGTCAGCATCACGCCCCGGCCGGCTTTACCCCCGGGAAAGGACCCCGGTACCCTTTGTAGAGGAGGCTGGGTGGGCCCCAGAGCCGGTCTGGACGCAGAGGCTAGAGGAAAAATCCTCTGCCCCCGTCGGGGATCGAACCCCGGTCGTCCAGCCCGTAGCTAGTCACTATACTGACTGAGCTATCCCGGCTCATAATGCTTCTCATAGTACATCGCTTATAAAATCCGCGGGAAAGTTTAATGTCCCTCGTTTTACAAGTTTTCGATGTATGATTCGTCTGAGTCTGTAGTCCCCACTGGCATGGGTTTGTGATCTTCGAGTTCCATAAGAGACGGAGAATTTCATAACTGTCTGATTCTCAAAAAGGGATGTGATCCGAGGGGTTGGTGAATTACTGTCGTTACTACGTGACATTTTTTTTTACTTTACCAGATCGAAAAGAGTAAGAAGTGTTTTAGGTCTAGCCTCCTAAAGCATTTTCCCAAATCGTGTTGCAAACACTGAAATGACATTCTGTTTTGCAGATCACTCGAGAAGCTGGGGACCAACTACCTGGGGAAAGAGAGTTCAGACTCGTTATCAACCTGCGTATTGAATTTTGCATCCGAAGGAATCGGCCGCAACGTATCTGAAATGTGTGTTAACGAGATTCTCAACAACTTCTGGGGAGAATCCTGGAACCACAACGGCCCTGATCTAGTCACCAGGGTTCTTAAGAAACTCTGTGGCGTAGAAACGGTCAGTATAACAATTCCTAAGAAACATTTCTTAACGTTTGTAGCATACGCCTCCTTAAAGAATTATTGCTATCGGAAAACATGAAAATTAAAATATGGGTGTGAAACTTAGTTTCTCACATTAAATAAAAAACAAAGATTAAGGATGTTAGAGATCAGGGTATTTAAGAAACTATTTGGACATAAGAAGAATGAAGTGAAAGGAGATCGAGAAAAAAACTGTCCTGTTCTCCAAATATTATTAAGTCGATCATATCAATAACGATTGAATGGGTGTGGCATGTATCACGCAAGGACACGAGAAATGTGTACGCATTGTGACTCAGCTATGATGGCTGTAAAATATGACCACTAGACAAACAAAATAACTGGAAATAAATTTAGTTTCCACATACAAACTTGTAATCCTGGGGTCTCGGGTTCGATTCCCGGCGGTGCCCGAATTTATAACTTGTGTTGGGCAAGGCCGTGGTCTAGGCAACACGGAGTTTTCCTCCGTGGCATCCCATTCACACACAGAAGAAGGCAATGGCAAACCACTTCTGGATCATCTGCCAAGAACGTATATGAACAGGTCCCAGTCCGAGAAAAGGATGGAAGGATCCTGTTCATATGGACCTGTCGTCAGACAGAACACTAAATAATAATATACAAACTTCAGGAAAACTTCAAGATATTTATCATGAAAATATACAACTGATACTGAACTGTGATTTTTATTAGACAAAATCAAGTACTGTCCGTCTGAGCTGAGAATTTACTGGTAGTTTGGTAGAAATTTATCAACGTTTCAGAATTGCTTGCTGCCTCCATCATCAGAGCGATAACTCATTTCGTTTACGTCAGTAAACATCTACCAGACTAAAGGCACAATCGCCCAGAAGGCAGTGACCTTCATATTCGTCACCATGAGAACCTAAATCTCACTATGTGAAAACAAGTTACATGTCAAGGAATGCAAAATGTCTGGTGATAGCAAGCTGATGGCGTGTACGACTAACGAGGGGATCAGAAACATTCACATGGCAAGTGACAAACGCGATAATAACAAAGAACCCACAAGTAACACGTGTCAATTTAATGACACGCAAACTGGCACGTGTTTTTCTCGCCTTCTAAAGGTCTGTTGCGCAATCCAACCCACTTTCACTAAGCCGTTATGCGTTCTTAGCACGATAAGCGTAACATGAACTCAAGCAGGGCCGGCCGTGTCTGTCTGTCCGTGTCCCCGCGAAATTCGAAAAACGCCAGACGGATTTCGATCAGATTTGGTATGCGCATTATGGCATCGGAGGCTCCCCTAAACCCGTACTTCTTAATTCCCGGCAATGGTTAATACCAACATGGAGGCCGCACAAACGTCTGAAGTGGAAGGAAAACCAGGGTCGCCTACTGCAATGTTCTGAAATGATGGAGGGTAACAGACCTTTGAAAAAATCCAACATCCGTACAGATAATCCTTGTAGAATATAAAACCATATATTTCCGTTCGTCGTTACCTCTTCCATGCTCTGAGAAGTTTTGAAGATAATCGTTAAAAATTTAAAGTATTATATATTGTTTAAATCTTGTCCGTCTAATCACAATAAATTCTTATTAAATATTAAAATATTACAATAATTAACATTTAAAATATTTAAAATATTAAATGATGTTCTTTATCGAAATATTCGATTTACATTAGACCATCATTTTTCACGACATGTTTCAGTTCCTAAAAGAACTATCTTCAGGTGTATATAATTATATAAAGATTCAAATCAATAATAACTTAAATACAAT